TATTCGTCTCAAAATAAGTCTCGTTTCAATTTTTTTTTTCAGAAATTCGATTTGACTATAATGTGATTTCATAAAATAGTTATTTTGGTAAAATTTTATCATATATTTAACAATCTATGTGAATAATAAGTATAAATATAGAATTTATATTGTTTCATTACTTAAAATAAGCATGAACGTAAATATATGTAAAGTTACCTAAATGCTCATAATAGACAAAATTTTAATTAGACTTTTCGAGCCAAACTCGAGCGTTTTTTTTTTAAGGTCGGGCTGAGACTCGAGCAAGATGGACTCGTCAAGCTTGAGCAGTTGTTAAAAAATTGAGTATGACTCAAATTAGTCCAACGTTCGGCTCGACTCGACTCGTTTGCAACTCTAATTGCATAGTCGATTAAGATTTATCTCACTTAATTGACAAAATAAATATTGATTAATATTATTCTTATTTTTAATTTAATAAAATCCATATCCATATATGTATCAATCCATATAGCCATAATTGTACAGTTTTGGACGAAAAAAAATCGTCTAATTAACATTTAATTCATCTTTATTTATTAGAAAATCTTATTTATAAAAGATCAATTAATTTATGTGTACTCAATAGCTAATATTCGTTAAATATAAAATTATTTTGATTTAATAGCTATATATTATTTAATCAACTTAAAAATTTGATTTAATTTAAGGGAAATGCTCACATGCCCACGATGGGCACATGTTAATATGCCCACCGCTGATGTGGCATGCACACATTGGTGTTGTTAATATGTTAAAAAAAATACATCACCAATGTGTGCATTCCACATAAGTCGGTGGACATATTAACATGTGCCCACCGTGGACATGTGAACATTTCCTTTTATTAAATCCCGAGTTTGGATTGTAAGATTCATATTTGACACGTTAAAATTGGTAAATGAACTGAATACGAACTCAGCTATCTCACGTTTGGCTAACAAGTAGATAAAAGCTCGTTATTAATAAACAACTAGTACTCTTATACCCGTATACATGCACATGTACATGCAAAGTCAATTTAATTATATTATAAGAATTACATAAAGTTCAAATTAAACAATATAAATAAAAATTAGAATAAAATATTTTTTATTATGTAAAATTAATTGTACACAACATTATATATATGTCGACTTGTCCTCTCCATATCTAAATATCCATATCTTTTTGATTGGCTACTTTTAAAATTATTACTACCGGTTACGATCGAAAGTTAATAGTAAATTACATATTAAACTAATACATTATAGTGATACAAAACATGATAAAATAATTTACTACAAAATTCGAAAGCTACATTTAAAAAAATCGGTTTTTATAATTATTTCAAACTTTAGGTTTCCATGAAACATAATAATTATTTATATTAGTGCAAATTATAACTAATTTATGGTATAATTTTATCAATAAAGCCCAATATATGTATGAATTTTATTTCCTTCTTCATAAAGGGTTAGTTAAAAATAGTTAAAGTAACTACTTTTTTATTCAATCCAGATCTTTTGGGAACGTAAATACCTTTTTTTTCTTATTGTGGATAATATTTTGAAATTGATTCAATGTCATTTTTTTTATTAAAAAAAGACATTATTTCAGTTTTTTAGATGATATTTCAAAGTTGATTTTAATACCATTAATTACAATTAATCATGTCATCTATTTAGAAAATAAAATTAAAAAAAAATTGTATTGTTGTTCTATTTTTATTTCTAAATGGCTCTAGGCATCCGTTTAGGTTCTAGATGACGCTTATGCACTATGATTCTGTTTAGGCGGCCATGCTATTCACTCAAAATAACCCTAAACTCTAAACCCTAAACCCTAAATCATAAAACCCTAAACACTAAACCCTAAACCCTAAATATAGGATAAAGAAATCAAGAAAATCAGTTACAACACTAAAATTGCATAAATTCATGACATTTATTTTTCATTTTACTTTTCTGATTTATTATGATTCAATATGTCATATAAATACATATTTGTATACTTATATATTTTATTTAATTTTATAGGAATCAATGATAAAATAAATACTGGTTATTATTGTTCTTTATTTTTAATCCAAAAAATATTGATTAATTTTTCATTTTATTTAGACTGTATAGCTGCTTTAGTCGGCTGTTACTAGCTGTTTTTCATGACTGTAAATATTTGTTATGTATTCAATCTTATTCATAGCAATTTTCGTAACACTAGTATTTATTATTCACATATACGTTCTACACAAATATATATTGTTTAATATTAATTATATATTATATCTAATTCGTCTTTATATCAAATAATTTAATATTCATTAATATGTATTTTCTTTTATATGATAGTAGTTAATAATTAAATATATATATGTGAATTGGAAATCTTTAGTAAGGCGGCAAAGTGGATTGGGAAGCGGCAAAACATTGAACCTTTAATTTTCGTAAAAGAAATTGGCTCTCTAAATAATCGGATACTAGTGTGCATCCCGTGCGATGCACGGACGGGCTTATTACTTAAAACTATTTTAAAATTTTATTTTAAACATAATTATTTACATTTAACATCTCACTATTGCAACAAAATAAATTCAAAAATATAAAAAATTATATATTATTTATTTGAATATAATGAGTGTCTCCAACAAAGCCAATAACATCCAACACATAATATATGATAAAAATAATTACATGAATCGTCATGCTTCTATATATATATATATATAGAAGCATGACGATTCATGTAACACATGAGATATTTAAGATTCACATTAACATTTGTAATTTGAGTAAGAGATGAAAAATGATGTGTACAAAAAATAGGTACCAAGAATCCACATAATATAAGATTCTTTGTAAACTTTAAAAGATTTTGTAGTTAGATAAATATGGACAAAAAAATCATCAATTAGGTTGAACAATCTGAAGTACTAAAAATTAATTTCTGAAAATAACATTCTTTATTAAATAAATATGAGATTTGTAGATAGATAAACATGGATAAAAAAAACATTTAACAATTAAGTTGGCATGACTTTTTGGAAAGATTTAAAAAAATTTCAAATCTTTTATTCGTTAAATGAGTGACTGGATTTTTGTAACCTAATTCACACGTTAGACTGAAAAATTTAAGAAAACGATTGATCGATTTTTTTGGGAGCAAGAATTTCAATATTCTTTCTTGTTATGTGTCAGATTTACTCATTTAAGGAAATAATTGCCCATATTTTTAAGAATTAAGGTTTACACAATATCTTTCTCAATTTTTTTTTTTAAATTTGAATTCTAATTTTCATTCAGCCGCCATTTAAAAAAATCCTAAAAATAGTAACTTTGAAAATTTTAGACGGGAATTTTAATAATATTTCAGGTAAATCACTTTTCATATGATATAATTACAGCTTATCCAGGTATATAGCTTTAAATAAAAGTGATCATCAAGATTTTATAATTTTGTTGTTTTTGGTCAGTTGGTGATTTTGTTACTATCAAATCAACCTGATTTTGTTGACATTTAAGCCATGTGGATGATTAAGTCTTTTGGTTAGCATGATAAATTTTATAATACTTGATAACTACAATATTTGGTAAAAATTACTGTAAGCTTAACATTATTAATTTGCATTCAAATATAGATTGACTATACGAAGTGGAATAATTATTTTGTGCATCGTATCAATAAATCAAATTTGAAAGAAAATAAAATATATCTATGAGAATAATAGTGAAATATGCTATAATCATTTCATGAAATTAGTCAAAATTAGAGAATTACAATTTTTACATTACTTTAAAATAAAGCTATGAATTTACTTCACATTATAGAATTTTAATTTTTTTACGTTATTTTAAATAAAGCTATTATATTATATTGTAAGTACGATTAATAAACCTTACACAATTTTAGCGTTAGACTAAAAAATAGTGAATTTTTCTTACAAAATTCTACCAAGTTTAATTCGGCGCATATTATAAGCTATACAAAGATCAATTTATAGCTATTATGGAAAAATAGTTTTACTTTAAAAATAATAAAAAAAAAGTCTGAATTTGAAAGCTAATATTTTCACTTATAAAAAAATTAAAAACAATATTTTCAAAATGCTGGATTTGAAAGCTATTTTTAATCATGTGTAAAATATCCAGACTTCAATTATCCAATCAATTGATTTAATCATGTTGTAGATAACCGAAAAAAATTGAAAGCTAATCATGTTGTAGATATTATTGAGATTTTGTCTACATATTAATAAAAAAAAAAATAGAAAAAAGTTTTGAATTCTAATGTGAACACGTATTGAAGCATATTTTTAATATTCAATTTTATTTACGAAATAATTTTGAATTGTAATTTGAAAGCTTTGTGAAACTCTGAATAAATTTATACATTCCTTTTAAAACATAGTTATTCCAACGAAATTTAGTAGTAAAATATTGTGATATTATGAATATTACATGATATTTATTATTTATATAGGAATGTAATTTTTTTAAAAATTAAAAAAACGTGAAAAAGAATAAATTTACATTTTAAGAAAAAAATATTTAATATATAAGTATATATTATTTAAAAAAAAAAAGACGGCGGGTGATGGATTTTAGCCAATATATGTTACCACAAGATTTTCAAATTATTTGTACACGTTTTTATCCTTATTTTTTTTTTAATTAAGAAATAGTCTTTCCATATTTTAAGGAAGTTAAAATCTCTTAGATTCTGTTATCTATAACTAACCACAATATCCGATCCGATTTGATTGGTTACCAAATTGCAGGGCGAGACATGCGAAATTATTCAAAAAAATTTGCCAAAAATGGTAAAAAACGAAAAACATAAGCGGGAAAATGACTTTAAAAAAGCGGAAAAACGAATTATTTTTTTTGGAATTGTTTGAATAATTTTTCTTAACTGGATTATATAGTAATAGATTGGAGAAATAAGAAAATTGGATCGCAGATAGAGCAATTGAAGAGATACTAGCCGCTCGATGAATATGAATGAAGTCAAGCACAGATCCTCGTGTAGAGGGCAAGAAGAAAGTTATTTTTTTCAGCAGAATATGGGAGAAAGAAAGAATGTGTAGCAAGTACAAACCTAGTACAATTTTCCCTAAAGGAACTTCTTGCTCGCATAAAAGGTAAGGTCCTTGCTTTGTTCTAGCTGGCTCTCACTTTGTCCTTGTTTTTCTTTTGTTGGGTAGTGCTGTGAACAGAAATAGGAAAACAAGCTCGAGGTTTGGCAGAGATAGTGGAGTGGACAACCCTCCTATATTCCATTTTAAAATCGAGAACTGGAGTGAAGTAGAAAAATGAGAAAATCGAGCCCAGATTGTAATTTTCTTGTTTACATTAGGGCCAATGATTGGGGTTCCTTGCATAAACTTGTGCATACATATTGTAATTTTCTTGTTTCTTTGTGAAAACATCTATTTTGGTCAGGCACTTCTTCACGGCAATGCTATTTGTCAGTAAAGGCTCGTGAACGTTGTGACTGCGGACAAAGTTTGTATAAGCTCGTGAGCAAATTTATCAAGTATCATATGGTTACTTGTTATTTGTCAGTAAAGGCTCGTGAACGTTGTGACTGCGGACCAAGTTTCATGTGGTTCATTCTTACATTGAATAAGATGTACTAGTATCAATTTGGCCAGTATGCTTAGACACACATGATTCCATTGGAAGTTTTAATGTTTTATATGTACTGTGATTTTGTTTTTGAGATATAGTTATTTTGTTAAAGCTGTATTTGCTTTATCAAGTTAAAAGTCTGATAAAAAGCTATTTAATGCAATCGCACACGTTGTCGAAATGCTCAAGCACGGTTCGTTTGGTTCGATTACAACACTAGTTTAGAGCATGAAATCGGGTCAACCCATTAGGTCTAAGGGATAAAGAGACGAGGAATATATCACCATTCACAAGGTACCCAAATTTTACCACAAATAACTTATACATTCAAATTGATTCCTTCACTTGCAATCCACTGAAACCCCTTACCAATTTGATGACTTATCTCTTTTCTCAATTATAAATCACCTGAAAACTTCTACTTCTGTCTCCATTAATTTGTTCACATAATCCATCTCCACTTTAAACGACGAGGTGCACAGACAACACCAAAAGGCAAAGATATCCATCAACAAAATAAAAAATTAACACATACCCAAATGGAATTGTATTTAGTCTTTCACATATGGTGTAAAATGTGATCTAAAAAAATACTGCTCAGTTTTCCAAAACCATGGCCCACAACAGCAAAGTAGCACAAAAGGATATAACCAAAGCAATGTCCTGCAGAATTACAGACCGACTATATGCTGCAACAAATACATAATCCCCATATCTATAACTATCACACAAGTTTCAAACAATATCTCTCAAGTTCAGTAAAGTCAAAATCATCTCAAAGTACTTTCCAGAGCAATAAAAGTGTCGGCAACCAGAGGTAAGACAAAAGAATAGCAGCCGTCACAACAGACTCGAATAACAAAAATGCAGCCGCAGCAATTGCAAAAGCACAACCACGTCGTTGACATTAGAGCAAGCAAAAACAAAGTCTATTTAATTGTGCTTGCATTATGAGCTCCTCCCAAACCCATTTTCGGGCCCAACACGGCAAGCTGCTCGACAAACTCACCCCCGTGAGAATCTCGGAAGTACCGTAGATGACGTGCTTGGGAGGCCGTTGGCGATGGACAAGCTCTTGCAAGCTCCCATACTCCACATAATTTCCACCACCAACCATGAACAGAATACCCTAAAAGGCCCTCTCGTGTGGCTGTCCGAGCTTGACTTTGGCGCACGGGGATCGAAAATGAGGGTTGAGTCAATTTTAGGATTAGGCTTCCACTCTCTATGCAACGGAGCAACTTCTCTTCATCCCCTTCTCATGCAAAGGCATGCATAGCATCCATTTTCCTGAAAAGAGAGCAGATATAAAAACTCAGGTTCTCTACTTCTAAGGTCACAGTGATGAAGAAAATTAACAATAATTAATCTTTTGCCCAGATACATGTCAAGATAAACACCCCAAAGAACAACTTACAGTTCAAATCCAGATTCCTCCTCATATATGAAGCAACTAAAAACAGGTCCCATCTGCCCCTGGGAGCCTGTATTCTGTGTGTCACTTCTCCCTTCATCTTTTTTCTTCTGCTACAGAACACACAAACAGAAAAAAGGCCAGCGACAAGCAAGATAAGTGCAAATGAATCTACAATTCGGGTTGAAAAGAAAACGAAAGAAATCTCACGGTGGCAGCACCAGCAGCCCAAATAGGATATAACTCAGTAACAATGTCAATGACTTCACCGTTGCTTCTTCAGGAGGCATGGCACCCAGTTTCTGCCATGCTTGCCTAGAACACAACACGACAAATTTATCAATATAAGAGGCATCTTTCAACACAATGGTACGAGAATTATGTGAGTAGCCCAACAGAACAGAAGAGACATACACAAAAGCTATGCTTTCCATTTACAAATTTAACATCAATAATTTCACAACATGACCCAATCATTCAAACCAACCCTATCACAAGCCACGGTTATGTTAAATTAACTGACATCGAATATATATAATGGGAAATGAACAATTACTTGGCATAAAGTTGTGCTATTGGCCCATACACACAATAATTGGATATTAACTTGGAGAAAATGTATTCTCAATTTTATTATTTAATAAACTTTTGCTGACTAAATCAATCCTGCAAGAAGGGATTGAGAGCAACAGACACGGAATATTTAGCTAAATCTCCAAGAAAATATATATTTTTAATTATGATAATAGTATTAATACTTAGATGGACTTGCACAATAAAAAAATTGAAAAAAAGAAAATATGAAGAAATTCGAAGTGTACTCACTTCAATGCCCAATATGAATCCATCTTGATCCCAATCAAACACCCTGATAGCTCCTTTGACCTCATCTGCCACGTCTTCCTGTTAATTCATCATTTTTTTTTCAATTATGTGAAATTTTTTCACATAAATATCTATGTATGTATATATTAAATTGACTAAACTAAAAATAGAATTATATTTAAATTCATCTTAACTTTTTCTTTTAGTTTCCTTAGTTACCTTTGTTTTTCTTGTTATGATACTCAAAAACTCATCAAAATCCACTGTACCATCTCCATCAGTATCAGCCTCATTCAACATTTCTTGAATTTTTTCCCTTGTTGAATGTTCGTTCAAGATTGGATGGCTGATGCAAGTTCTTCCACAGTGATAAAATTAGAGCCCTCGACTCCCATCACCTACATAGAACAAATTATGTGTAATCTTCAGATTAGGCACGACAATCACCCGAACTTTAAAGAAATGCCTGAGTATAATACAGAATCTACTGTCAAAACAATATTAGAAAACCAATGATATGATCTTCATAATTGGGGTCAGAAATTTGTAAAATTCTCGAAAAAACAAGCAGCCCATGAAAAAACCAATGCAAAATCGAATCTAGAACAAGAATATACAAAACAACAACAGCCTGCACAAGACGATTCTGCCGTACACCGCCGCCGGATCCCCCTCGAATGACTTCACGTCCCAATCCTCTTTTAGTCTTTTTTGTCACAACTCATGCTAAGCACCTACAAGCACAGATTGAAAAGAGATTGAAGATGATGAAATTGAATTGGACTATTCCAAAAACTATCTAATGACAACTATTACTAATGGGGCTTTGAGATTCTAAAAGAATTTATAGGATTTTATGGGATTTTATGAATTCTCATGGATTTTGTAGGATTTATTAGAAATCCCCAAAAGTGACATGTGGAATTGTTTAGGACTTCTATAGATTTCTTAAGACTTTTCAAGAATTTTGTAGGCTTTTATTGTTGATTGAATAAACATCAACATTAAATATATAAATATACCATTGTGAGAACTTGTGAGAAAATTTATACAAAATAAAAATCAATTTGAACAAGGAGAAATGTGAATTTTCTATTTATTTTTTTGTACAATAATAGTCCAATTTATTATAATTTTTATTCTATCCAATAAACCACACTCTCAAGACATACAATTACTATATTTTTTCTCACTTATAATTTTATTCTATCAAATCAACCACATAATCTCAAGAAATAATTATATTTTTTACTGACAACATTAATAACCATTATGTTTGAAACTTTTGTGATATTATGATAATAATGTCTAACCTTATTTAAAGAGATTCTATAAAATTTTGTGCGAAAAATTAAAATATTGGAAAATATAAAGTAACAATATCAATAAGGTGCAAATTTGATGAACACAGAAGTGTTGCGTCTAATACAATTTCATATAAAATAAAAATAATAAGCAAGTCCAATTTCTACTTTATAGCATAAGGTGCAAATTTGATGAACACAAAAGTGTCGCGTCTAATACAATTTCATATAAAATAAAAATAATAAGCAAGTCCAATTTCTACTTTATAGCATAAGGTGAAAATTTGATGAACACAAAAGTGTCTCGTCTAATACAATTTCATATAAAATAAAAATAATAAGCAAGTCCAATTTCTACTTTATAACATCATTCCACATTTCATTTGCTATTGCATCCCTCCATGCATTAGCGGCTGCTCTTTGTTGTTCTTGACTTTCAAAAAATGGACCAAAATTATCTCCTTCGGTTATTGGACAAGATTGACCTGTTTCTTGTTCAAGTTCTGTTGGAAATTCATCAGAGCGACATTCTTTACGTAAGAAGTTATGTAACCCTGCACATGCCAATACCAGCTCCGCTTGCGTATGAAACGGAAATGGAGGTGGCGATTTAAAAATCACAAACCTTGATTTGAATATACCAAATATCCTCTCAATTACATTCCTTAACGAAGAATGCCTGAGATTAAACAGTTCCTTGGCATCGCTTGGGTCACGACCTTGACCTGTAAAATCATTAAGATGGTAGCGAGTCCCTCGATATGGAGTAAGAAACTGTCGTCGATTTGGATATCCACAATCGGCCAATAAGTACTTTCCTGCAAATAAATAATATAATTATCTCATGCTTGTGACATTAATAACAGTGCATTAAAGAAATATGAAACAAAAGAGAAAATTATGAATTAATACCATCAGGAATTTTGAGTCCGTTTCTTCTTGTTAGCGCATCCGTCAAAATTTTTGAATCATGAGCTGAACCCTCCCACCCACTGAGCACATATATAAACTCCAGATCAAAGTTACAAGCAGCTAAAACATTTTGCGAAATTTGTCCATGTCGATTCCGATAACTGCTTGTATCATGTCCTATTACCATCGTTGGAATATGTGTGCCATCAATAGCCCCAATGCAGTCCTAAATTTTTAAATTTTCAACATTAGAAAACAATATAATGAAATTACAAAATTAAAGTAAATAATGTTATTACTTACTTTAAAGTATGGATAAAATCGTGCACTTTCTCTTATTTTCTGGGGAATTGTAGATCCTGGCTTAGCCAACATATCTACAAAGTATTTGGTTAGTGCTTTCAACACCTTGTTGAAATTCTGGCTGGTGGTGAAATGTGATCGACCAAATACTTGTCGTACTTGACAGTATCTATTATTTTTCCCAACAATAAGTAAGAATGTCGCAAGCATTTCCTCAACAGAAACAAACCTTGTGTCGCTCAAGAGTTGTTTCTCTCTAATGATACGACATAATTTCAAGAATACATCGGGGTACATTCTATAGACCTCTCGAAAGTCGTTAGAATCTTCCCCAAGTATTTTATGTATATAATCACAACCATCCACCGTTTTCGGCCTTCTGCTTAATGAGTAATTGACACGACCATGGCACATATTAACCATAAGCACATTTGCCATGTAAAAAATTGCTTGAATGAGCAAGCATGAGTACCGAATGTATTTATATAACTCTTCTCTCATGTCATCTTCTTCAATTTCATCTATGTCCATTAGATCATCTTCGTGCATATCAGTATCAGACATTATGTGACCTGTGATAATTAATAAGAGATGAAACGACATAAATTAATAAAATTCAAATAATACACAAATTAAAGATAAATAATTCCAACATCAAACAAGCCAGAAAATTCATATAGTTCATAGTACTCGAATAACATAAAATCCATGAAAATAAAAAACCAAGTCCAACCTGCTCAAAACAATGGACATAGACCTAGAAGTTCATAATAATCTTATTATATATAAATCATTTCAACTTATATGCTATCCACTCAGCTCGTTCATCCGGGGACATGTTAAAAAACTCTGACTTTTTTGCTTTGGTATTAAGCAAATCAAGAGCTTTGAAACGATCCTCAGAAGTTAAGCCTGGAATCTCCTTAATCAAATCCCAACAGTTGTACTCTTTTGTGTCAATTGATTCAATAGCACGAGTAAACTTCTCCACATTTGATGTAAGCTTTTCTACGAGGTCTTGGATATCTTTAGGATCAAATGAGGTAGCCTTAGTTTGAGAATCAGTTTTAGCTCGTTTTCTTGGAGGTGGACGGGGCTCCGAGTATTGTTGTTGAGTCGAGGTTGGCACGAAAGAGTTCTCGGGAGATGGTGGAAAAGGATCTTGGGTACTTGATGGAATAAATGCATCACTTGAGGGATCATATGTGAAATCATCTAGCAAGCTCCCACTTTCTCTATTTTCTTCTATAGTGTCGTCTCCTATGGCAATAGAATATGTCCCTTTAGCTGTACCGTTACCAACTGCAATTCTCAGATTTTCAAAGTCTGGATGAGGGTCTGTCCGTAAGCTTGAATNTTTTTTAATTTATATCTAGTTCATTTTTTAGTTTATGACAGGTTTATAAACCAATACAAGAATACATAAATTATGAATAAACATCAAGTAATCAGAATCGCTCTTCTATTCCACACATATTCAAAAAAAAAAAAAAAAAAAAAAAAAAAACACTTATGGTAGCACCAGCTTTATCTATAAGGACTTTTACCACATGAATCCAAACCAAACAAATTATGAATTCTGTGACCGCAGTACAAGCACAACAGATTGGTTTTAAGCAGTACAAGCAAATTTAATACAAAACACAAAAATTATCAATTTTAAGAAGTAATTCAGCTAGCACATGCTATATTCAACTAAATATCGTATCATAGAATAGTACAGAAAAGACATAAAACAATTGATTATGATCAACATCAAATACACTTATTACTATGTGTTTTCTGTCCTATTTCTTTTTTTTTTCAACCACAATTTTTCATACCTTTCTGTTCAAAATCAAACCCAAGACACAAACTTTCACATCAATTGCACAACAGTAAAATTACCCCCAATCTTGAACTATAAACAAAGATTTTTTCTGTTTTATTTGCTTTTCCTTTTCCTAAACCGCAATGCACAGTGCCAAGAGATCCACATCCAACAAAGCAATCACCAAAAACAAAAAAGTACAAACTTAAAATAAAAGTCTCAAATTCAGAATGGGGCCCGAATCAATTTTAACGGCCCGGTTCGATTTATGATCAATCATACCGCGGACTCGGTGGGCCACTTATGCCTTTTCTCCTTCAAATTTCACACAATTTTTTCCAGTAAAACGATTAGTTAATTAAAGAGAACAATGATTGATTTTTTTTATTTTTTTTGTTTTTAACATCAAAGGAAAAAAAAAAGACTAATAACAATGAGACTAACCAATCAAGATTTTATGCATGATAACATTTTTTTCCAGTAAAACGATTAGTTAAGAGAACATTGATTGTTTTTTTTTTATTATTATTATTTTTTTTTTAACATCAAAGGAAAAAAAAAGCTAATTATTAGCATCAAGATAAAATGTTTGTTAACAAAAAACGCAGAACATTTTATAGTTACATGAAAAAAGTAGCCCCTCTTTCGACCATAACAAACGTTTTATCTTGATTCCATAAAACAATTCTTTTTTTTTGTTTTTAACAACAAACACACAACAAGAATAAAAATAGCACAAAATTATCCAATCAAGAATAATCATCAACTTGGGAAAAGGAAAAATCACCATGAAATAATTTCATACATACACGTGAAACAGAATCAAAATTGTTATACAAAAACACAATTGTAATGCTAATCACAAGTAGATGTTGGTACCTTTCAAGAGCAAAGTATGAGTCGTTCCCTGCTTAAGAGAAAGTCGTCCTCTCGTAAACCCTTTTCTGGCAAAATCTCAAAATCTCTCATATACTGGTGGGATTTGTAATGGGATTTGGTATATATACTTTCCCACTCAAATCTCTCTAAATCTAAATAAATGACAAATCCAATAGAATTGAAAAGGAAATGAATATCTCTTGATTTTATGGGACTTTAAAAAGTCCAGATTGAATACCTATAGATTTTAAGAGACTTTTAAGAAGTCATTGAAAATCCTAATTAAATACCTCAAGATTTTTTAAAATCCTAGGAAGTCTGATTTAAATACACCCAGATTTCATAAATCCTAAAAAGTCTTTAAAAGTCTTTAAAATTCTTAAAGGAATACACCCCCCTAAATCATGTCAATCGGATTCTATATCCGGCAAGAGCACTCCTCGCCGTTGAAATAAACCCTAGTCGAAATCAGCTTGAGCGCGTCGATCGCAAATGATATAGATGAGGATTGGATTTGGGGAAAATACATTTTCCCCTAAAATTTCAGACTAAGATTGAATCCTGTAATAACTGTCTTTGCTTTCTTCTTCTTCGTCATCGGGTTCTTGCTTCCGTCATTGGGTTCTATCTAGTATCTTCCCCTTAATCACGAAAAGAAAATAGACTTAGAATAATTGTTGGCTTATTTGAGATATATAATTATGTTTAGGTCAAATGTTAAGATTAAAAAAATTCAACACCTTTTAAGTAAATTTATAATGTTTTTTCTTTATTTTTTTAATTAAGGGCATTTTCGTATTTGTATTAAGTTTTTTTTTTATTTAATTTATTAACAAAATGACTCATGATATTTATTTAAGAGGTACCTGTTGTTAAGTCAGTACAAGCTTACCTGATAGTAGAATCGCCCTACCAAATTCCCACAAGTTTTCTTAAAACACAAAATAGCATCAACACAAATTAATGTAGGAACACAAACGACAACCTACCAGTTCAAAGTCACCATAAATTAAATTACAAACACAAATTACAACAACATTTTAACCTCGAAACGAACACAAAAATAAGGAATTAATTTGAAGCACCATGTAGACCCTTCAACCATGTCAGTAAGGTCCACAAACGCCTCTGCACCCCAATTTTGCATCAACACTTTTCCATGCCCTTCGACTATTTGTAATTCAAATATACCCTCTCCAAAGTCCAGAATGACTCGACTTAGGTCTCTCGGCTCGGCTAACACGTATGTTCGCCAAAAATTAATTGGAATAGGCTGCAATAGCGGGAAGTTGTAATTACGTATGTGCTTGAAAATAAATAAATTATAATTTAAACGGAGAGTAATACACATTTACCAAGCGGGCACGTTCGACATGTGTTTTTGTTATTTGCAACGTGAAACGGTGTCGAAGATCTCATTCCACTTGATTGTCTGTGTGGACTGTGACAACGAAATCCGTTAAAGATGTGCGGTCGAACCACAAACAGTTGTCGGCCATAATGTCCTCAGAACGCACAAAGTCGCGCCACCCTTCATACAAAATCACCCGACACAGATTACCTCTCATTACGACGTTATACATACGTCCCTCTCTCGTAGTAAGGGTGCACTCAACAGGTATAAGGTGGGTATATTGATGGGTCAAAGCGTCCGGTAGCTTCTGTGTTGCACATAACATTTAATCAATTGACGACTTATGTGATAATGTTGCAAAAAATGAAACATGAAGATGATGCTTCGTAAAGACGCAAACGTACCAATGTTCGCTTGTCCGGTTCACAATGTACTTGAAGAACCTTTGAAAGTGCTCCGACAGGATTTCAAATACCCGGTTATCTACGTGGATTGTGTGAGATCGTTACATTATCTTCAACAAATGTAATGACAAAGGACAACACGCATACAGATATTGGGGGCTGAACAACAACAAGAATGAACATAATTGAACGTCGCCAACCTCTAGAAAGTACAATAATACGACAATAATGTAATCCCAAAATACATGTAATGACAAAAGCAAAAAAATTTTTAAAAAAAACATACTCATACCAAAACACAGAGCGAAAAAATAGATATTGTCCCGGCTTCTCACTTCTTCAATTAACGCAAAAGATGATGGACTCGAATAGCAGAAGGAAAAAAAAATATGTACCTCTTTGGAGAAGGAATGTACCGCCCTTCTTTTTCTTCCCAAAAAACTTCTTTCCTTCACTCTTCCACCAAGAAGGAATCAACCGCCCTCTGTGCACTTTTCCACCGCCTCTTTCATTTTGTTTTTCGTGAAAGGGTATTGGTAATGGTGGTCACCGCCTTTTTGTTTTTGTTTCTCACCTTTCTACTCCACTTTTGACCGTTTTTTAATTGAGGTAATAAATGAAAAATATCGTGTCATAAATGCTGTAGGTTACAGTTTTTGATTTACTAATAAATAATTTATTAACATATTTATGACATTTGTGACAAGAAATTAGATTAACAGTAATGGTGGTGATCGGTTATGGTGGACAATTTTTTTTGAAGACTAGTTGATTATAATAAAATTATGTGTTCGTTAAAATAACTGTTAAACTTTAATACCATTATTTAACATATAATTTTAATATTATATGTATATAAGTAAGTTATAATAATTTATTTATATACTTACAAATACACAAGGTCAAAGATTGTATGTTCATAACCATTTTTATAATTGCAACAGGCTTTGTACTACAGGGCTTTGGGATTGGATCGATTATGAAAATAGGGAGCTGTCGTACTCCCGGGTAGTTCTACCTTAGAGGCACATGACCTCCTTCATTGTACTCAATAAAAAAAAAAAGGTACATTATGATGAACCAAAAATGTTTGTACTAATTTTTGGGCATAGGTGTGTAATAGTATTATTTATATTAATATAAACAGCAAAACGATAATATTTGTTAATTGTACATACTATAAGAATTCCGTCACAGATTGTCTGTTTATATCAGAATCATTTTATAATTGCAACAGGCTTAATAAAACCTACATTATGATAAACCAAAAATGTTTTTCTTTTGGAATTTACGTGTGTAAAAGTATTATTTATATTATAATGAACTGGTGGACGAGGTATTAATTTCAAATTTATATGTAGAGCATAACCAATGTATTATTTGAAATTTATATGCATCAATATATCATTTAATAAGGTAATTTTTTAAAATCCCCCTACTTTTAAAATCCTCCTATTATAAACCCCCCTATGTATAAAATTATTTTGTCATTTTAATTAAAATTATGTTGTTTGTAATACTATTATGTAACATATGACTTGTACAGAACGGCATGGTACTTTGTTTAAATACACATATTTTATGTAAATTTCTATAATTTGATTTAAAGTGAAACATTTTAAAATATATAATTAATCAAGAATTTATAATTATAATATTAAAAAATCATCACAACCGTACCGTAGTGTAAAAAAAATAGGAATTAACTCACCTAAAAAAACGTATAATTTATAAAATTGTGTGAAACCACTTCGACAGACCCTACCCCTTGTCGACGACGCTGACGAGACCCCGCCGCGACTCTCTCGCCGCAAGAACAAAGCAGGGACAATTAATTGTGCTCCTAATTGTGGTCGTAAGGCCGCTTGCCGCCACAAGGTTTGTATCCCTCATCTATCTCCTAACCTTGTATTTCACAAACCAATTTTAGCGTTCGATTTCACCCATATTGTTGTCCATTGTTATCCGGGTTTGATTTCATGTACCATACAATTGTGTGGATTTTCATTGTTCGTTACAATTTTTTGGGCATTTGTTGTTGAAGACTTGTGAAATTTATTTGGGGCAGAAGCAATTTATCCGTGTATAAATAATAAAAAAAAAAAAAAAAAAAAAAAAAAAAAAAAAAAAAAAAAAAATCCTTGTTAGTCATGGTAAAGTTGGTATGCTTGGAAACGAGTCTTCACAAATTAATTGGGTGATTCCAACAAGATTACATGTTGGTCTCACTAGCAGAGATGGATGAAAGAGAACGTTGATATATCTATACATTTTACTCGGTAATATGAGCCCAACTATGTGTAATTCCTTCCACGATTTTTACTGTCAATTATAAAAAATTGCATAATGTTGTGTGTGGGAAATCATGTTTCATTTCAAGACCAAAACCTGGATTAATGTGTACGGTAAAGTGTTGTTTTACACATTTTTGTGTTCAATAAAATATTGTGTTCCTGTTTTCCACGTACAAGTCACCGAAGATGTCGAATCCTTTGGAAAGATTTTTTTTGGTTATTCGTAACCCGGCCAATGCAAGAAAGGTAGACTGTAAAATCGATTAACTTGGATTTATACACTCGGTTGAAGTTAATTTTATATTTTGACTCTACTAAGCAATGTCATACTATGTTATAGAAACTCCCGGTTGGTCTCGTCCATCAACACATGGACGATGTACCTGTTCAATGTACGCTAACCACGAGAGAAGGCCGTACTTATGAGGTGACAATGAGAGGGAATGATGAGAGCATATTCTTCAGTCAGGGGTGGTTAGAGTTCATGCGCTCAGAGGATATAAGGAGAGACAACTATCTTTGGTTCGACCGCAACAACTTGACAGAGTTTGGCGTAACCGTTGTCGACGAGGATGCCATTGAACGGCCTTTGCGGCATCATTTTACCCTGAAGATAAAGAAAACACACATTGAACGTGCGCACTTGATTATTATGAATTTTATGTTTTCCGCAGTTATTAAAATTATATCAACTACATTACATTAATAACGTGTTTCAAATGTAGCCGATACCGATTGAATTCTAGCGGTCCCATGTGCATGGTGAATGTGAGGATTTGGCTCGGGCACTCTTGATATATAATGAAACTACGTACGAAGTTGAAATTATTGCTGCCCATGGAAAAGTTTTGATGCAGAATAAGCGTGTTAGGGAATTTGTGGACAATAGTGGCATTGTTGAAGGCTCGATGTGCACATTCACTCTTGCTCGTTATTATTGTGCTTGTTTTAAGGTTACAATTACGTGAATCGTGTTTTCGATGGTTATGCGGACATATGTTTTTCTACTCCGACATTATTTGATTTTGTATTTGGAATGATCATGTTATTTGCAAGTAATGTATGAACTTTGGTGCATTTTATTGGCTCATGTGGTAGTAGAATTGTTCATGGAAACGTTTCAACCTTGGTGCATTTTTTTGGCTCATGTGGTAGTAGAAGTTTTCATGGAAACGTTTTTTATTTCTTCAATAATTTCTGTGCTCATGAAAACCAATGTTTTCCATCAAAAATCCAAATGGCATTTCCGTAATTGTCATTCATAATTTCACAAAAAAAAATTAAATAAATAAATAGACAATTTATTGGAACACGCACTCAGGGGATTGTAATACCAATTTGGGAAAATGTCCAAACAACAGGAGACATCTGGCCCCACATGCCTGCATGTATGTTCAAATTGATGAATGTAGAATTTTACCTCAGTTATCTCAAATCCAAATAATCCACTTTTTTGACAGAATTAATTTGTAAACAAGCGTACCCTTAAAGTCATATCAATTAGCATACAACATTTTATAACAGCACCCACAATGCATTGGGTCTAATTTTACATATGTGACATATAAATAGATTTAAGTCCTATATGACATGGACAAACTCAAATAAAAAAACTCTAAAGATATTCAATGCAAAAATAAAATATTAGGTCTAGCATACATGCCAACCAATAAAAATGCTCTCATATGTTTCCTTTATTAAAAGAAAAATTAAATTAAGAATAAATGATGAGTGTTTGGGTGTGTACTTGGGTCCAAAATAGACCGAAGTGTGGACTTTGTCTCTTTTTTTATTGTCGCATAAGCTAGACCATGTCCACTTTTAATTGTATTGGGAAGCATTTTTTTATAAACTAAGTCTATTTCTTATGTGGCATATGATATTTTATTAAGAGACCCAATGCATTGTGGGTGCTTAATTGGTACTTAATTGGTACCAAATTGACATTAAAGTCGGTCAAACAGGGGGTTGAGGGCTGACCAAAATACTAACCAATTTAAGCTCCATGGCCATTTGAAATTCAAACAAAGTCTTGGGTCAAATCCTCTAATTTGGGCCGGTTATTAAGTAATCCAAATGGACCGAAATTGGGACTCAATTGGGCCAAATGAATAAACTCTAGGTTCGGATTTAAATGGCTTGAAAACGGTTCAAAACGGATTAAGATCGGTTTACGCGATTAAACCGAAAATCGCCGAAACAATAAATTCTAATTCTAAATAATCCTAATAAATTCATACACATAATTAAATAAATAAAACACATCAAAATCACATAAATATATATCACTTAGCAATAATAGCAGATAAAAACAGATAAAGATAAGTAGTTAATAAAATAAACGAGTAAATAATTAAAACAGAAGCAAATAATCAATTATAAGCAAAATAAATAATCATATAAAATCCGAAAAATTCTAATAAACGAACGGGGCGCTACAACTTTAGTCAAGTCCAGTTTAGCCGAGCAGTCAGCAGCAGCTTAATCTGTTTAAATTATCTCTGTATGAATTATCTGCTTATGTGAAATTAAATATCTTTGCATGTCTTGTTTGCTTACTGGTCGTCGGCAGTAAGTAGCAGCCAGCAATCAGTAAATCAGCAGTTAGCAGTTGAGTTAGCAGTTTGGAAGCAAGTTCCCATAAGCACTTAAGTTAGCGAACTTAAGTTGAGATCCGAAGAGAAAAGCAGTTTCAGTAAAGTTAAGAGCTAGTAGAAGAGTTAGATATATGTATGTGCTTTTAATTGTCTTGTTTGTCTTATCTGCCTTATGTATTTAATTGTCCTTGCTTGACCTTACTTGTCTTTGCCTGTCTTACTTGCTTGTCGCCGTCTTTAATAATAAGATAAAAATTTATAATTGTAGATTAACGAGGAGTTGAGCCCTCATCAGACGCATCCATTCATTCATTATCAGTTTATGCAGTAAGCAGCCCAGGTGGGGATTTCTATGCTATGTTCTAATTCTTAATAATCGCAAGATATTTAATGGTTGATGTATGTATATGAGTTTTGCCTAAGCATGGGCATTGCCCGAGAGTTGGCATATGAGCTCCCGTTGTTGAGTTGGAATCGAGATGTCCCCGAGAAATCGAGATGCCCAGTATCTCCGACGATAAACAGTGTGCACACAAGCTAGCAGCATCAATTGAGACCAGTTTATTCATTTATATATTGAAATCATTGGTATATGTTATTATCATGAATAATTGCATAGTATGAATTATAGGTGAACACGTTGATGTTGCTCACCCCCCATAATTATCATTTTCAAGTTAGTAGCTAGTGCAGGACTCAAAGGGTGATTGGGTGGTCATATAATATTATGCAATTATTTATGCTTCCTCTATGAATAGTTTATTTTCCAGAACATGTTATTTCAGTTATTATGAACATTGTTTGAATGATGAGATTCAATATTCAATTCAGTTATTAGACTAGCATCGATAGCTCTGATATGTCTTATTATAAGTTCAGGAACGAGTTGCCCCGAGAACTTAAGAGCAAAGTTTAACAGTAACTTTTAGTAGTACCCTCAAAACAGATTTAAAAAGTTAAATATTTTTAAAAAATTCGAATTTATTTCCAAACTCTGATGTTTTCAAACTCGGTTCCGAACTCTGATGTTTCTGAAAAAAATACACATCTCAATTAATTTAATTAATTAATTAAATAAGCAAGCGTTTTCGGAAAGAAAAAAAAAATTGCTCTAATTTTTGGGGTGTTACAAAAGATCACATCAACGCGTAATTAAACCTCTCCAATGTCACTTGTTGACTGAATAAACTCATGTCGATTAATTTATAAGCCAACACAAAAACACATTTCTCTGAGTCGACCATCCGTTTTGCAGTAGGACAAACTATTCTCTCGAGCTTTCAAATGGCACTTGTTGATAAATTTCTAAGCGAAAACAAAAACGGATTTCTCTGAGTCAACCATCCGTTTTGCAGCAGCAGAACCAACTATTCTCTCCAGCTAACAATGGCGCACGAGGAAAAATAAATTAATTAAAAGTACCAGCATGAATTTGCAAAATCTATTATATCAAAAACTGATCGAACGTTGAAAGAACCTAAAAATTAAGGAACTTTGCAAGGATACCACCCTTTCACTTTCTCGTCGCAAAAACGACACTTTTGGCTGTAATAATATTGGTTTCTTGAGTCGTTTTTTGGTCGTAAGAGAAAAGGTGCAATATTTTGAACACAGGCAAAAACAGTGGTAGTTATGAAAAAATGCCATCAATTTATGTTTATCCTCCTAAAACTTAAAGATTTGCATACCCGAAGATGATCCAAACGAGAAAATAGGACTCTGCAATTCATGCTGTCCGACTCTTCCAGCAAGTTAACAATCTGCAGAACGAGTAAACGAAATGGAAATATAGTAAAACAAAGAAAAGTTAACAATCTGCAGAACGAGTATATGAAATGGAAATATAGTAAAACAAAGAAATGTTCATTCATGCGTGAAAAGGGTTTGGACATAACTTTCACGGAGAAGTTAAAGAAGTAAAGTGGTAAGAAAAAATGTGTTACCTCAGGGTAAAATTCTTTTCTCTCGGGCAAGGAATAGATGATTAAGTTCTTGACGCCACGAATCTATTTAAAAGAAAAAAAAAAGTAAAGAAAAAATAATAAAGGATGAATAGGATAAGACTGCAAAACATTGTGTTTGCTGCTTCACGTTGGCAAGATTGCGGTCAAGGTTGGGATATGTAGGCATTAATAAAAAATGTTCTGTTCGAAAAAGCAAATATCCCTGCACGAAAATTAGCTTCATCTTGAAACCTAGCCAACAACCTCGATGAAGAGCAAAGTTAGACTCCAACTATTTAAAATTAGCAAATGTATCGTGCTCATTTGAAGTGTCAGTTGCCAATTTAATTCGCAATGGTAAATCAACTGTTATCCAGAACATTATACTATATTTTACAATCTAATTCATTGGTGTGAGTTTATCACGCTTCAATGTTTTCAGTTCTAATATTGGCATTCTTCAACTATGAAAAAATAAAAATAAAAAGGACAGATCCATGCAAATCGAGAGTAGAACATCCTAGATTATGGTGTGCACGGAGCAGAAAGTTCCATATAGCAAGATCACATCAGACCACATGAAACTAGTATTTTTCGTGAAAATCTCGTTTCACATTTTAGCCATAGGTTCACAGGATTACAGAGACAAATCTGATAGCCGATGACGCTTCTTAAAGCTGAAACTAATACTTTGTTACGAAGAATAATATAAGTTTATACTCAACGCATTATATATGGTATCATAAACTCTTTAATGTTTACTATTGTGTGTTAAAATTAGAATTTTTAAGGTCAACGGAAGTAACAGAGTACCCCAAATAGCAAAACAAATTGGGTATTGAATAAATATATAAAAGAGAACTACCTTGTATCTGTAGTAGAAATGGGCTCTCTCGGTATAAAGCATAATTTTCTTTTCCCCTCTGAAAAACTGCCCCCGAACATGAGCAATATCGTTTCGTTTTATATACCTATATAATAGTCAAAGTAAAAAAAGGCCGCAGGAAACATGAATAGGGACCATCAAATTGAAGAAATTAACTCAGAAATAAATGCTAAGGAAGTTCAGAATAATTAAAAGGAAATAATATTTTCTTACTCTCCGAACAAGCAGACGGAAGCAGCTTGTGACTTCAAATAGTTCCGGAGTCGGACAAACTCGAAATAAGAACTAATAAATATCATTACACCATTCTGCATGAAAAAGAGAATATGCAGAAAGGTTTATTTCATCTGTGGAATGGTAATGAAAACACATGACCATATATATTTATCGAGCCCAGATATTACCTGAACAGAATCTTTTATCTTGGGGAAAACCTGGAAAAAAATGAGAAAAATGATGTCAACCCTTGAATGGTGCATACCAAAAGAAGCCAGTCCTAGTTTGAAATTCAAAATTATATAATTAGTCTTCATTGATTTTACTCAAAAAATGGTTCTATTAAAATAATTAACGGTGGAAAATTTCCCGAGTCGACCTCCATTGACCATCAGATATGAAACCAGCCAAAAACATGTGTTTCTACATTGTGGTCCAATATCCATGAAAGACTGTGTTTAAAACTTAAAGTTGTCCTAAATTTGGTTTCAAGTGATTTTGCTGTTTGCTTAGTTGCAGCCTCCTACCAATACTTACACGGATCTGAATCAAGATCCTATGTCATTTCTCCTCTTAATAGAAAAATGATAATATTTGAGCACTCAATTCTAGTAAAGAAAACAAATCACATGACACCCGTTCAATTAGCATGCTACAAATCAGTTTAACCATCACTTCAAGTGCTCAGCATAATTATTTTTCTAACTAAGCACGAACTAGAAATTGAGTGTTATAATAATCTCTTCCAAAACATGCCAAAACATTTACAACCATATAGATAACAGAAAAAAAGAACAATTACAGAATATCTTCAAACCTGGTTATATCAGTTCAGGTGCATGCTGATTAACCGACAGAATATAACCAAGCCATAGTTCATGAAGCAAGTTTAGACAAACCTTTTCACAAAAATATTTAAGTCGAGCATCATCAGCTTCTGCTATAGATTCAGTATCAAAACGCTCATAAATCTGCAAAATCAGTAATGTGAATTACAAATAAATATTGAAAGCAACTATGAGAAAATATAACAAAGTCTTTACTAAGAGGAAAAGAGATTAAGAACAAATCAGATTGCAAATATGTATGCAGCAACATACAAATTCATATATACATATATATACTATCAAGACAAAGCTACTCTATGAATGTATGTAGATATGAGAAATATAGTGTCAGTTTAAAAGGAAAAAAGGTGTCGCAGTCTCTTTCAAGATCAAATGCAAACCATAGGCAAGACCATGAAACTCTTGACTGAAGAGCAACAAATTGATGCATATGAATAAGAAAATAACTTATTAAGTCACAGAAACCCACACTAGTAGCTATGAGCTCCAAACAAAGCACTGATCTTAAAATTGACAATTATATTCACCTGTCGCACTGGAATTAATATTTTTGGAAGAACACCTTTATACTTGCACTCCAATTTAATCTGCAAAGCCAAGAAGTAACGATTTCTATATTCAAAATAAAAAGATGCAAGAACAATTAAAACCACAAGTCACAAAAGATATTGGGGAGTTACATGAGTTACCAAACAGTATTTACTGGATTCATCTAACCTAACATTATAAAAGAACATTCAGAATTAAATATATGAAGTGATTGAAAATCCCCCACTTTTTTTATAATAATTTTTCTTTAGCTCACAATTCTAAAATGGAGTTGCTCGAATGAGAATAAACCAAACTACTCAACTGAAACTAATAGCCTAATAGAGATTATTACAATTGGCAATTTAGTTAATTAAGCTACCATATATCTCAGGTTCCTAGATTGAATTCTAGTAATAGAAAACAATCCACATTTTCATTTTCCAAGATTTCAGCAAATTAATTATTCTGCTATTATAGTGTTCAGAACTACTTCATCAGCGAATAGAGTACTTATAAAAAGAAAAACATGCTTCACCAAAACATGGCTATTGTCTTTGGGGAATTACCATATTTGAGGAAACTAAAACCATAAATATTATATATTTCAAAATGAAGAAAATTAGATTATTGGCTTTTTCCCGGCAGTTAAAAGAAAGAGTATATCTTTTGGATGCAGAAACCATTGAGGAGATCGACACTGCCCAGCTCAATATTGGATAACATAAACAAATTTTGCCTCAATGCAAAGAAAGAAGGAGAAGTACTTAAACCATGTCAGACATAGTTTGGAGCATGTAACACAATTTCAAAATACAACATCCAGAACATTTACGAACCTTTCCCTGGTAATTAAGGCAATGTTGATTAAAAAGAGCATTGAGTTCTGCAAAAGCAAAAATTAAAAATAGCAACAAAGATGCAGATCAGAAATAAATTATATAAATATTTCAGACAAACAGAGCAATACTTCAATGTAGCATTAATGATAAAAAAAAATATGCTCCAATGTTAAACAAAGGGAAAGAAGAAAGTGAGAATATAAGACAAGAAAAAAGAACATAAACACACAAATGAATGCCGGGCTGTCATTAAATCAATTGACTGGATAAAAAATCACAGGTCTACCTATTTCAGGCAATGTAACGCAGACAGGTGCATAAATCCATCTATGATATTATCACTACAGGAAAATAACAAAAGAAATATTCCATATCCATTACCTGGATTTACATGAGAACTCAAAATTATTGTTTGCCGATAGAACCGTGCTTGTTCATCCAGGTACCTGATAATGAAGAAACATTTGCAGCAAAAGGATAAATGAAGGGATGGAAGAGAAATACGTAGCTTAAAATGCACTTCACTACATCACTACTTTAATCTGTCAAGACAAGTGTAGTTAATGCTTCTAAGCACGCAACAGTTCCTTATAGCACATGAGTCCGTGATATTTAATAACAATGAATAATAAAGGGCCAAAAAATGTCCCATACATAAAAGTATTCCATTCAATATCCAATAATGCAGGCAGGGAAGATATACGACAAATGAAAGTTCAAAACATACCATGGCCTTATGCGCATAATATCGGTTCCATGTTGCTTAGACGGCAGTTTATTCAATTGTTCAACAACAGTATTCACATGGGACCAATTCTGGGATATTTAAAAAAAAAGTCAGAGAGAAAAAAGATCCACAGTAAAATAACATATACGACCATACAGACAGTGGATGCGCGATTATTTTACAAACCTGCATTAGCATGACATCTGCATGATCAATGATTAAGATCTGTCACATAAGATTGTTCATCATTTAGTACAGGCTGATCAAGGACATTTTTTTAGACCAAACTAATATCGAGGACTATTAATATTCATGTGCTTACTTCTATTGAAGATAAATAATCAAAATCTTTTTCTTTCTCCACTTCTGCCTCCCCAATTTTCTGCAGAAGAAAAATTTAGTTAATTATGATTAATGTCAATGCTGCTAGGATCACGGTAGAAAGCAAAATGGTCCCATCATTTTAGAAAATGAGCAGATAGATAATTAAGAAGCACTATTTACTAAAATGAATAAAAAAAAGTTAAAAGATGTGAGACTTGTGAGAGATGTCTAACAAACACATAAACTAAATGACGCATCTTAAATGCACAATATAAATGAATTCATTTGCAGCTACAAAAAAGTTAAGTATCTGAAAATGCTAAATCATCCAAAAAAATAAATATTGAATAACATTCGAGAACTCAACATTCAAGAGACTAACAGTGATTATGCCAAGAGGAGAGGCAATAAGGACATCCGATGAGTAGAAATCACCATACAAATTTATTCCCCTGCCAAAAACAAAAAATAATAGCAAGTGATGTAAGATATTGCCTAAGCCCATAAACCAATATGTTCTTGACAACCAACATACCAACAGAACTTCTTTTGCAGATAATTTATCCAGCTACTTCAAAACATACTAAGACACTTAGTAATCTGAAAGTTGTAATACAAAAACAGTTGTATGTCAGAAGACAAAATAATTCGACCGGATGGAACTACGTTAGATTCTTGAACTAAGGGGTCAGTGCATCACTTATTTTCAACTACTCATTTTCCATGATAATTTCACCTACTGGAACTAAATCCACATTCATTTCTTAAACTAAGGGTTCTGTACATCCTTAGAAACAAATGTCAAGCATTTCACCTACTTATTTTCCATAAACAGATCCCTTACCCAAGTATTAACTTTATAGAACAGAAAATTGCCTGCAAATCTATCACTGCTTTTCAAGAATTTGGTATCTTGAACTGTGACAAAATTCAATTTCCACAAAACCAATACGTAAATAGCAGGATCTTACTTGTTCGTGTATTTCACGCCTATCATAAAGTGATCATTGTCATTATCCCTACCCAGTAATGCTTGGTGGTCAGGAGGTTTCGCAGACTGTTTGGGTTTGTGTAGTTCTGGGCCATCCTCATCATCCTTGTCCTCAGTTCTTCCAGAACCGAATTCTTCGTAAAAGCGTTCCAAATTTTCCACGCTAGCCTGTCCAGAACAAAATAATGTAACACCAGCCCCCAGAAAACTACAATTGTCTACAAAACACTAGAAACTATACACAACCAAAATACCATTTTAATATCAATTAATCCACAGTAGTCAAACAGATAAATCCATAAGAATATGGCAGCAAATAATCCTGAAGCTTATGACCTGGGACATTTTATGAAGTGAAAATGAGTAGACATTGGGGCAAATAACAGAGTAGTAATATGACTACCTCATGCTTAGTTGGAGTCAACTGGATCAACCTCTTGACAACTCGACGTGCAATACCAGCAAGTGGCAAAAGGATCAAAACCTGGAAAGTTTTGAACAAGTTAAACTGCAACATGATGCAATAGTAGCTGGCACATGTGATAGAAAGAATGGGGATGGTTAGACATCAAAGCAAAACATGGATAAAATATATTGACATAATACAAGCAGCAAATGGATTCACATATATACCAAATTGTGCTATAAGCAAGATTGGGCATGTACAGAAAATAATATTAATAAAAAAAAATAAAAAAAAAATAAAAAAAAAAAAAAAACTAAACTAGAATCTGTTGCACAAAATTAATCAAAAGCTAATTTAGTTTGTCAATCATAATTATTATAGTTCTTTTTGTTTACATGTTAAGATTAGTTCTGTTTACTAATTCTCAATAACATACCTAGATTACCTAGCAAAATAATTTTTCACAGTTTACTTATTTATCAGTTAATCAAGGCATACCTCAGCCACAAAAAGGAGATCAAGGGTTGAAGAAAAAATCATGACAACTATCTAATATTGTATTTCTATGTGATATTTTTATTACATGAAAGAATTGCAATACCTTTGGGCGAGTAAACCCACGATCAAGATAAGATTCACTATCAACAGCTTTGCCCTCCAAACTGTCTTGATTCTTAGCCAATTCTCTTTCATTTTTTACTATAAGATCTCTACTCCTGAAGATGTGATTTAACTGCAATAGATAATTACATAACATTTAAGCTGAGATAGTATAACGAAAAATGGAAGCCAGCACCTCAAATACAGACAGGCAGAAGTAGAACATGTTAAGTATCAATGTGCTGACAGGTATGGTTGACAACATACACATGCTAATAAAAGATACTGGGATTAGACATACAGAGTGCATGAGATAAGCATCCATGATATTTGAATCTTCTTCCATTCCTTTGAGGTAAAAGGGCTTCTTGTTATGGTGCATTATATCATAATAGCTGTTACCTAGAAAAGTCAGTAGAATCAGAGGTTATTACACTATCCAACCAACTATATGAATAAGGGAAATAACTAAGCAATTCAGATTGTATTACGATTTTCTCAATGCACTCACAAATAGAGAAAAATAATCTCTGTTTAGATTGATGAAAATCACTGCCTCCTGAAGCATTGAAACTTTCCAGCCAATGCTTGTATAATCTTGGCTTCAGATCATAATGTGCATTTACGTCAGAATCCTGCATGGAAAATTTTGTTAGATGCTATACATTAGTGCATATAAACCATTTGACAACTCAATTGCAAAATTATAAAGTATAGTACTAACTCAAAACAAAGTTTCTAGTACGTACAGTGGAAATCAACTTTACGCAATTAAATCACCCATTTTATTAATTTCCTTTCTGATCTCTGTTGTATAAGAAATGATTAGTGAAACATAACTACCAGTAAATGAGCTCATTCACCTTTACAGACAAAATACCAAACAAGAAATGCAAGAAAAAAAAATACAATTTTTATAACATTGAGGTTTAAAAATCCAGCAGACTAGAATTCAAATGCTCTAAAGAATAGCAATAGAAATGAGCTTGCTCATCATTCACATAACTCAGCAAAATCTTGCAGACATGACTTCAAAGTATACTAGCTTGAATTAGAATTGTAATAGAAATGTCTCAATTTTCAGATCCAATCATTTAGCCAACAAGAACAAGGAAACAGGACAAATATGCTGAGTAACTATTAGACGCCATTTGTAATTTCACATCTGGTAAAATGATGGTAAGGTATGCAACTCTTCATGGAAATGTTAAAGGAACCTACTAAAAGCTTAAGATGTTACAGTGGTGAGCCAAATAATAATTAATTTATTCTGCTCCAACACATCAAGCAGCAAAACAATACTCAAACTCTGGACCTTTTGTTTGTCGTGGCTCTAATACCATGAAGAATAAATTACAGGAATTGTGTACTTTGTATACGCACATAATATTTTTATTCAATAGAAGAGTACAATTATGAAAAGAATGAATAAAAAACATAATTCTAGCTATCCATCATTCCCTATTTACAGAAAATCAAGCCATATATTGACAAGAAGCATGCAAACACTAACCCACACAAAAGTAGCAACAATTGGTGTTAGTAAACAACAGCACTCACAAAAACTCCATTCAATTAACTATATAACCTAGAACCTAGAATCTTGCTACACATTTTTAACTGAACTGAATAGCCACGCAGAAAGCAAAGGCAAAAAGAAAAAGAAGATAACAACTAACCTTAATTGCACATGTTCCTGTTCCTCTCCAGTAGCAACTTGACTGGTTAAGGGCAGGCATTTTCCATGTGTACCTCCATTTTCTTTTCATTAAATGGTCAATCTCTGAGGAGGATATTTTGTGAGACAAATGATTGTCAAAGCTACTGCAAGAGTAAACATCCAATAGAACGCCACGCTTCAGTATCGTTGTCAAAATGCACTTCATCCGCTTGAGACAAAGTGAGCTTCTATATTCACACACATTTCAGAGAAAATAAATCCAAATGTTTCATCCATACAAGTGCAATATGTCCCCCTCATTCTTTGACAACTAACACATCTAAATATTTCACAATTCTCCTGGCAATCCCAGTCCAAATTCTATCAAAATATTCTTCTATATATAAAACCATACAAAATTAAGTTTTATATCCAGTTGAATATTTGAAGATAAATCAAGCGCCTATAGGGGTATATTTAAGTTTAAAAAAAAAAGTTTTTACTCAAGCCGCCCCTGGCAGACATAAAAGAATAGGTTTCATACACCATATAACTGAAAGTGTCATTAGCTAATTATTTCATCATCGGTGCCATTAGTGGCCCGTAAAGGTATATATTGCTAGATTTTACGCGATAAAATATTTATCTGGAAGGAACAATCTGAATGAGTTTTATTTTGCAAAATAGAAGATGTAGTTCGCTAGCTCACAAAATGTTGCATTTAATAAAAAAGATAGCTTTTATGTGACATAATTTAANCACAGTAGCTTAATTAAATGTGTATTTTAAGATATTCCTTGCATTCCAAAAATGAAGGAAGTTAAGGAAAATATTTATGCGGAGATGTGTTTCAAACCGCAAGAAAATAATTTCGAAAATCATGAAGTAACTTAAGACTTGGGAAGGATTGATAACAAATCATAAACTGTAGCAAGTAAATATGAGAAGACCTTAAGATCATAGATCTCTCTGACAGGGATTGATTATTCATTCTCAAATCACTTTCATCATCGGTGTCAGACATCACTGCTGCATCATCATCGTCTGTCCCAACATCTTCACTCAGTTTCACACCACCTTTTGCCCTATTTTGAACAATATTACCCTTGGCAGGCATATTATCGATTCCTAAATCAGAGAAAAAGGAAATTACAATACGAATAACATCTATGCTTATCTTCAGGAAAGAAACTAGAGCAACCCTGGGGACTTCAAATACAGAAATTCATAATTCTCAATACTTTAGCCAAACGAAAGTGTAGGATACGTGAACCGGTCCACGAACACATGCGTATCAAACAGTCACAGCTCTATATTCATAATGATGCCTATGTAACTCTTGATAGTCCTCTTTTCAGAGAGGAAAGCTGTATAAAGAATAAAAGAAGCTTTATTCCCTTGCATCTTGGTAGTCGTTTTCCATCCACAAATACAGTAATGAATCTAGTAAAATATTATCCAACACTTTCAAAGAGTATATTCGCGACCAAGCATCTATACAGATAAACCTGCAATTATCAAAGGGAAGTTTGCATCTAGAAAGACTAATTTGATGTACAACTATGAGAAGATCGCACCGCCAAAATCTTCATATTTAACAAGCAATGAAAACTGTAAAATAGCATCAATAGTATGTCTACGAGCGAGCTACGTTTATACAGGACAAGTAATAAACCAGCTTTTTGGAGCTTATGGTAAAGAGGATTCTGGGAACAGTTTCACCACAAACCATACATGCTACCAAAAGGTTCTCTTATTATACGCGCATTCAAATGATTTAAGCTACAACATAAGAGCATAACAAGAATCTGGATTGCCAATATATGATAGTTATAATTTAGTTTATTTCCAGTCCAGTCATTACCATCCTCGCCATCATCCTCCGTCTCTTCTGAATCATTAATAGATTCTGAACCACTGTCTACATCTTCATCTGAATCACTTTCCCCTTGCTCCTCTCTTTGCCTACACAAAATGAATAAAATTAAAATGACTTGGTCATCTAAAATCGTTACCGGTGAAGAACATAGAAGCTCAATCTAGTGCTTTACTGGCCTCCTAAAAAGGTGTAATTTTTTATTTATAACTGAAGTCTTGCTTATTTTGTTCCATAAATCCATACATACATATCATATCATATACATACATATATATATATATATATATATATATATTCTGAGCCGCAGTTACCAACACACTGTATAAGCTAATTCATTTCGAAGTCAACAAAATACTTAAATTTGTCTACAAAGCTTCTCTTAACCACAACACAGTTTATATGAACGAAAAAAATGTAAACTCAAGAAGGAGGAGGTCAAATTAAATACAAATTCCTATATTGCACCAGATAGCCTTCAGCTTCACCAGTTCAATTCGCATAATATATACTACATTTCAAAAAGAAAAGGTGTGATTAAAAACTAGCATAACAAAATCCCATGTTACCTTCTTCTTAAAGCATCTGCAACAGATACATTGCGCGATCCTAGTTTTCTCAGCAAATCGTCATACACTGTTGGCTCTCCGAACCCACCTTCTTTAGGTTCTTCAACTTCAAAATCACCATCTGCCTGCTCCTCAAATGAATCCCCTATATTCATCACAGCAAAACCCAAATTAATGGGACTTCAAATTTCCAATTCAATAAAAAGTTGCTCTTTTTATAACAATTCAGCTTCGAAGGGACTTCAAATTTCCAATTCGAATCATCTTGCTAGCACCTTCAATCTCGGTTCGAGGCGCATTCTCATCATACCGGGGCTGCTCCTTTTTCGGTTTGCTACCTCCTCTGCTCGGCCCCTTACACCCTAATCACGAATTCACAACCCAAATCGTTCACTCACAGAAAAAGGGAGAAAAAAAGAGAATAAGCTTCAATAGTGTACCATCTCTCCTAATTTTCCTCAGTTTGGCGGAGCCACCGTCTTGGGGCCTTCCAGTGCGGCGTCGTTTTTGGGCTCTCATCATTGAATTGAGGAAGAATGGCTGGTGGCGACTGGGGTCTGATTGCCAGCAAAGAGTGTTGCTGCTCTGTATAATTAGGGGCTTTTAGGGTGGTTTGATTGCAATAATGGATTGAGCTTGATTCATTTCTATAACAAGTTTTAGGTGTAATCCTATTGAGATCAAATGAGGCCGCTTAGCTTGTTTGTTTATGATTGATAATGATAATTTTAAGCTGAGAATACTTTTTCCAACTTATATGTACATTTCCCTAACTCCTCAATTTGAAATTACACTTGCATATTAGAGAGAGAGAGAGAGAGAGAGAAACAAATTGGGGGAAGTGGGAATAAGGATTAGCTGTCGAGAATCGAGAAAAAGCTCCCGAGAACTGAAAATTTGGTCTCTCGCTGTTACCTCTCCTAGAGCGGTTAGGTCCAAAATTAGCCGGGGACGACAGGGGGATGACGCGCTGCTGTCGGAGTCGAGGGGCGGCGGCGGCAGAGGCCGGACGACGTGAAGCTATCGGGGTCAAGGGGCGGGTGGGGGCGGCAGCTAGAATTATGGAGTTGTGAATACTGCAAACCAAAAGGAATTGCAGCTGAAAAATTTCACTACAGTTAACTGATAAAATCTAAAACCCTACTTAACTTGATAGTAAAAGGGCACTTAAACCCTTCTTGTGGTTTAAATAAAATAAAATTTAGTATATTTTTAATTAACATAACATGATAGTATCATTTTTTTTTTCTTTCTTTTGGTTTGGAATTGGGATTTTTTTGCCAACAAAAAAAAAAATAATAAAGTGGACAAAAAAAGAAAAAGATAGTGTCGACCAAAATAAAAAGCACGTATTCAGTGAATACGTTTTTAATTATAAACCGTATTCAGATAATACGTTTTCAATTGTAAAACGTATTTATCGAATACGTTTTGTTAAAAAATAATTTGTTAACTTAATTAACGTAATTAACTTAACTAAAACTAAGGAAAACGTATTGGGTAAATACGTTTTAAAATAAAAAAATTAAACACGTATTATATAAATACGTGTTTTATTTAAATTTAGTTTTAAATATATTTTTTATTATAAAACGTATTTATGAAATACGTGTTACAAATAAAATTAATTTTTACAATTTCTAAAAATAATTTTTCTTGGAAAAAAAAATTAGAAATATAAACCGTATTCTGTAAATATGTTTTATATGTAATTTTGCCCCGAATTATTTTTGTGCCCTAATTTTGCCCCAAAACCCTAAATGTTTGATAAACGTATTTTTGAAATACGTTTTATGTTTTAAAAAAATAAAAAACGTATTTACTAAATACGTTTTTATAAGAAATCCTATTCACAGTCAAATATACCTGTTCACAACCAAATACACCTGTTCGAGCAACTAATATCAACATATTCGCCCAATAATAATCCAACATATCATATAAACAAACAAATGAAACACAATAATTTGTCGAACAAACAATATATACAAAACGATATAATTCAGTTTACACAACCAATCCAAGAATTCAAAATAAATACAAAATTCACGAATTCAACACAAGTAACTACGAAGGAGTGTATGGGTTTGTAGGCTTTCGCTGTCTAGACCCCCTCCGAGTATATACCATGTGAGAAGAAGACGAAGGTTGAGGTGTGAGAAGTGTGTCAGTTTGAAAAGCCTGCTCAATTTCATCTTCTTCATCTGAATAATTCAATTAAAAAAAGAAATCATAAATTGGATTGTAAAAAAAAAAAAAAATGTTAATTTAACGGGCTGCTCAGGTTGGATGTGCTGGGCTGACGGCTGAGCGCGGGGACGGGCCCGAGGTCTTCTACCCCCACCAATGTTGGGGGCGGGTTGATGCCTGGCCGTGTGCGACTGTGTCCTCATGGGAGCAATGTATTCGTCCTGGGAGAAAACTTGACTGGACGGCCCTCCATGTGGAACACCCTGACCCCCAACAGTCAGAGAAGAGAAGGCAAAGTTGTACGACTGTTGGAAGCCGGTCTGCGCTTCTGGAGGGATTTGAGGCAGTAATGGTTGAATGTCCGATAATGCGCCATAAACCCCTTGCAGTGCAGAAGTCTGTAAATAAATTTCATAATAATTAGTATGAAA